GTAATTCCGGCTACTCGGAAGGCTGAGGTGGAAGGATCGCTGGAGCCCAGCAGGCGAGGCTGCGATGGCTGAGAGCGGCCACTGCACTCCAGTCTGGGCAACCGAGTGAGACTCCAACTCAAACAAACAAACAAACAAACAAATACATCTTCATGTCCCCTACTTACTGATTTCTTTTTTCCTTGTTTCATTGGACCTTTTTCCATAATTTGAATCAACCTTTAGATAACTTATGAATTAGACAAAATTATTTTTTCTCAATAATGGCACAACTTCTTTAGCACATTTTATGTAGGAATTATATATGAACTAGAATTATTATTCTTAGTAACCTTAAATTTTAGTGAAAAACCTAGGAAGCAAGAATTCCTGAACTGTCTATCAGAGATGAGCATTTTATAGATGCGAGCATTTCACAATTTTTAAAAAACATATTTCCTCTTATCATAGTATTTTCTTTTCTTTTTTTTTTTTTTTGAGTTGGAGTCTTACTCTGTCACCCAGACTGGGAGCGGCCACCGCAGCCTCGACCTGCTGGGCTCCTGCGATCCTTCCGCCTCAGCCTTCCGAGTAGCCGGAATTACAGGCATGCCCTACCACGCCCGGCTGATTTTTTGATTGATTGTAGAGATGAGGTCTCGCTGCTGGAGCGGGTCTCGAACCCGCGGGCTCAGGCAATCCACTCACCTCAGCCTCCCAAAGGTGCGGGATTACAGGCTGAGCCACCGAGCCCGGCTCACAGTATTTTCTTAATTTGAAATGACCCAGACATTTATCGAGCATCCAAAGTAATTTCAAGATTTTAAATTACACAAAGCACATTTATGCTTCATTCATTTTTAATAATTTATCAAGATTACTTATAAGAACTGAGATATTAGACACAGCTAGTCATTAGTTTCTTGTTAGCCATTTATAGAGCTTGTGTGTAAGAGTTCACCTAAGTAAGAGACTCAAAGTTAATTACATGGGTATTTTTGCCAATAACTTAGAAGATTCAACTGTTTTTAAAATTAAACTAGCTACAATAAACTAGTCTTATTTATCACAAAAAATCAAACAAAGATCATTTTGTTCTTGGTAGGTTAAACTTTGGTGCCAAACCCCCAACACCTTAAAATATCCAGCAGAGACAAATATGAAATCCAGACAAAAATGTATGCTAACAATTTCAAAGACTTTTCCATTTTTATTTTCCTAATAATCTTAAAACCAGCTTGTGCATTCAAGATTTACTTAAGTCACATGAATGTGAAAATGCTTGGACTTAACTACTTATAAGCACTCTTTAAATTATAAGCCAGTTGGGTGCACTATAGGCACAGCATGCATAATAATAAATGGTATATAATAAATGCATATACATGTAAACACATCTAAACATGTATACCTATACATAAACAAAGATACAAAGATCCAATGGCTTTTACTTCAGGGCTCTAGTTATGAAGTAACTGTAAACTCATGGGTTGGCCAGCGTGGTGACTAAAGCCTGTAATCCCAGCACTTTGGGAGGCCGAGGAGAGAAGATTGCCTGAGCCCATGGGTTCGAGACCAGCCCGGGTGACTCTACAATAAGTAAAAAATTAGTCAGGCATGGTAGCCTGCGCCTGTAGTTCTGGCTACTTGGAAGGCTGAGGCAGAAGGATCACCTGAACCCAGCAGGTTGATGCTGGGGTGACTGTGAGCATGCCCCTGCACTCTAGCCTGGGTGACGGAGTGAGACTCCGACTCAAAACAAACAAACAAACATACAAAACCTCACTGATTTAACGAACACGTTCATATAGCTATACTTTGCCTCAACAAGTAATCCAATGAGGACTGTGAGCCAAATTTTGTATAAAGAATTTTATTGATTTTCAAAGGCCAATCCTCCTCAGATTCCAAAGAACACTGGAGTCAAACAGCACCACAGGAGAACATCAGTACAAACCAGGCCTGATCTACTTAGAACAGGGGCATAAAAGCCGGGGTACATGGAACTCCATCCTGCTTTCCTGTTCATCTGCAAAATGAATCCAACTGTGTTAGACAGCACTATAATTCAAAGACCCATGGAGAGCCCAGCCTCCAACCTCCCCAGACTCCAAAGAACACAGGGCCTAAACATCATTTCAAAAGAATAGCATTTTCCTTTGTTCCATCAGCTTATAACTATATTCAGACTAATTCTGAAGAATTCACCCAAGCAGGTTGCATTCTGTAATTGAACTCTGATTTCCCTTGATTATATTGCCAAACATAAACAATTATCAAAATACAATCTACTGCAGTAGCAATCAACAAGCCCCCAAAGTGTCCAAACTGAAACGGGGTACTTCTCACTCTCAGTTTGTCAGTTTGTTCAACCTTCTAATAGAAACTCCTGTGGAATTCCCCAAAATGAGAGAAACAGATCCTGCTCTCTGCTACCCACAACAGATGCTCAACCCGCTGGGGGACACAGACGTCAAATTTCGCAGGCGGTTATTCCCTGGCAATCAGTAACATGGTTGGGGACCTGCAACGAAAGGACCAGAAACCCACCTATGACCAATAAGAGCAGTTGCCAAGCCAGGAGCAACACTTTCAAAGTCAACACATCATTTTACCGTCAAGACGTCAGAGGTTCACTAGAATTTCTGTTGCTTGCCTCACAGAAAGTCAATCACTGAGAAGGCAAGTTATTGCCAGGAAAGAAGACTTTTTAATTGAGTAATATCAGAAAAGGAGAATGGGAGATCAGTCTTAAATCCATCTCTCCCGCAGGTTGAAATTGGGGGTTTATATAGTGAGGGAATAAATGTAAAGCAGCAATTAGGGAGGAGTAAGGAAGTGATTATGTTGAGTGAGGGGTATGGCATTTCATTGTCTGGATGCAACTTCTGGGGAGGTTCAGACCCTCTCTGAAGTGTCAGTTTCCTGAGGAAGGAACTCAGATAAGGCAAATGTTTAAAGTTTTAAGACCAGGAGGGTCAATTTATATGTTTATTAAACACACACACACACACACACACACACACACACACACACACACACACACACACACACACACATCAGTTCTATGGGGAAATTGGGCAGGTTTCAAATAGAAAACAACCCTGCCTCTTGAAGCCTCTCAAGAGAGCTGAAAGACTGGTGTTACCATCTCTACTCCAGATGAGGTGGTGGGAGAGATCAGGGCACTTTTGAAGCAGTTCCTGGGTTTTGTCCACAGAGCTTCATTATAGGCAGACATTTTTTTGTGTCTATCCTTCAAACAACTTAAATAGTAGAAAATAATGAAAGAAGTTTCAGCAGCAATAGCTGAGAAGCAGTGCAATTAACATCTGAAAAATACTAAGAAACTAGAAAAAAATGCTCTGATTTGGTTACTAAGTACACACACACACACACACACAAAACCTCACAGAATTTTAAATATATTTACTAAATAGACCTTGAAAAGGAAAAAGATTCTATCTTAATCTTATTTGTTGATTTATTTTCTTTCTTCCTTCAATCAGAAAAAAAAAATCATGAGTAGGAACCTAGACTCTTTGGTTTATTACAATATCTCTAGAAACTAGAAAAGTATTTGCAGCCAGGCTCGGTGGCTCAGCCTGTAATCCTGTGCTTTGGGAGGTTGAGGTGAGTGAATTGCCTGAGCCCCCGGGTTCGAGACCCACCTGGGCAACTTGGCCAGACCTCATCTCTACAATAAATCAAAAATCAACCGGGCATGGTAGCACACGCCTGTAATTCCGGCTATTCGGAAGGCTGAGGCGGAAGGATAGCCGGAGCCCGGCAGGTCGAGGCTGAGGTGGCTGGGAGTGGCCGCTACACTCCAGTCGGGGTGACAGAGTGAGACTCCAACTCAAAAAAAAAAAAAAAAAAAAGTATTTACAAAGTGTTGGCACTCAACAAATATTTGTTGAATGAAAGAACAACCTTAGCAACTTTTTGATGTAAGTGTTATAATTGTCCTATGGTATAAAGTTTAAAACTTAGGTTAATTAACTTGTCCAAGATCACAGCTAGTCAGTGCTAGTGCTGGGTTCAGCCACTGCTTTTAAATATCCAATAGCATCACATTATGTTTCCCCCTTTAAAATATCAGTCCTAATATTGTTTCCATTCCATTCCAAACTCTAACTGGATGTGGCCATCTCATTACTTTACACAGATCCTAATCTTTCACTCATCCAACCCAGCGAGAAACTTACTGATAGGATAATCTGTAAAGGCTGGTTTGCTCACATCTGTCTACTGTTCAAAAATGTCAGTGGCAGTCGGGGTGCCGTGGCTCATATCTATAAACCTAGCGCTCTGGGGTCTTGAAGTGAGAGGATTGCTTGAGCCCAGGAGTTTGAGACCAGACTGGGCAACATAGCAAGACCTCTCCTCTACCAAACCAAACCAAACCAAACAAAAAACCCTGGCGCTGTGGTGCATACCTGTAGTCCCAGCTACTTAGGAGGCTGAGGCAGCAGGATTGCTTGAATCCAGGATGTCGAGGCTGTGGTGAACTATGATCATGCCACTGTACTCCAGCCTGGGTAACAGAGTGGACACCAACTCAAAAAGAAATTTAAAAAATCAGTGGCATCCTATAAAAATGGATATTTCTGTTTATGTCAATTCTATGCTTCCAAGTTTATTCCTGTGTCATCTTTTAAGTTATCCAGTTACATTGCAAATTGAACTCACGCTCATATATGTGTGTGTGTGTGTGTGTGTGTGTGTGTGTGTGTGTGTGTGTATGTATATATATATGTGTGCATCTTAATTTACTAAATGAGTAAATTAACATGCTATTCTTCGATTTACAACAGACCATTTAAAGGCTTCTTAATCACAAAAGGAAAAAACTGAGGACAATTAGACTCAGCAAAGTTTAGTGATATTAACTGAGTTATTTTGTTGTCTTTGGACAGGATATTATACTTGAAACAAAGGTCATATAAGAGTTAACTATTAAAAAAAATACAACAAAGTGGAGCTTCTTGTTCCAAGTGACTACAGTAATCTTGGAACCTGTTTCCAAGATTATAACCTGTTTTATGCAACTCTAAGAGCCAAAGAAACCTTACCAAAGGATTAAAACTTGCTTAAACAAAGATCCTTTCATTTACAACTCTGCGGCTCTAAGAACAAGAAGCTCCAGCTTACAAATTTGCAGTTTTTTATTGATACTGGTTAGTTACTATGTAATTTCTAAAAAAAATCTGTTCTTACAGTTTAGAAGCAATGGTGAATGGAGATGTTGGTGAATGCTAAGGTAAAAGTCGTTCATTTATTTGAGTTGTTGTGGGTTGTGATCCAGGCACTTTTACTTGGAATAATACAAGGTAGATGTAAAGCTTAGCTATGAGTATATAAATTTGGGAGTTTTCTAGTTATCTTGTCTATACTTTCCTGATAAAGACTACAATCATATTTAATACAGGATTTTTTTTGTGCAACAGCAATAATATTGTTTACTTATGCACACACATAGATTTATGTTTTGAGTGTTCAAATATGTTTTATCTAGTTCTTCCACATCTCTCCTTCAAATTCTGATGAAGTCCCATGTTTTCCACTTTCCTCTCTTTCTTCCCTGAAATTCTGCAGCATTCGTTGTCTATACTATACACTCATCCACACTTAACATTCTCATATATACACTTCATTGGAGTTTTCTTTCAAAATTCAAAAGTGAAAACCTGTTTCTTTAAAAAACCAAGTAGCACAAAAGCATAAAAAGAAAAAAAGTTCATTTGGTTCGTAAACTTTTACATTCTTCCTATGCTCATGTAAAACAAATATCATTACATATAATTATATACATATGCTCTCTCCCTACTTTTCTTCACAAGCTTAGGATCATCATGTGCGTGACTTGACTTTTTACTGTATTTATTTAACTATGAACCATGGACATTCCTTTAGGTCAGTATGCATATCTAAATCATTCCTGGACTATAAATCCTTAAATGGGAACATCCAGTTCTGTAGAATGTGTTTCCAAAAGTAGAATTACAGAAATATTTTCTACTACTGTTTCCAACCCTACCACTTCTCCAGCCCATTTCACTGCATGTTATTAATCTTTTACAGTTCTGTTAATTTATTATAAGAAAAAAATGAGGATATTCTGCTATTTTCATCTTCATTTCCTGGGATGCTAGTGAGATTTAGCATTTTTCAAATAAAATTATTTTCATAATTTTTTTATACATTTGCGTTTCCTTTCTTACAAATCCCCATTCACATATTATACCCATGTTCATTTTCTGCTTTTCAATTTGCAGAAGTCATTTTTTTTACATTAGAGATATAATTCTTGCTTTTCATGTGTTTCAGATATTTTATCCACTTTTAAACCTTATTTTATTATTATGTAGACTCTGTAAATTTTTTCCATCATAGTTTCTTGAGTTTTTTTTTTTTGTCTTTTTCAAACGTTTTTCCTCACTCTAACATTTTCCCAATTTCTCAGATATTTGAATAACATTTTTTGCATTAAAATTTTTAATCCATTGCCCTTTTTAGATTTGAGCATGGTATTAGGACAGAATATCACTGTTTTTTTTTTCTTGTTAGATATAGATTTAATTATGACATTAAGATCCTTTATTAAATAAGCTTTAATTTTTCTGCTGAACTATTATGGAAATACTTATCACATATTACATTTTTATTTATACTGGATATAGTTATGAACTTAGTTTTGCACCAGCGACCTGTTTGTCTATTTTGGTGCTTATAATATGCTATTTTAATCAGATTAGAATCACAGGAGATTTTAGTATCTTCTATGGTAGGTGTCTACCATCTTTTTGGTATATAAATCTTGAAATCATTTTGTTCAACTCTAAATAAAAACCCAGATAAAAACCAGTGTCTCAATGAAATTATGGGTAAAGTTGCAGAACTGAATTCGTAGAGGTGAGCATATCACCTTGTTCAGGGATAACTTGCTCTAGGTATAGTATATTTTCTGAAGAGAAGTCACAACCGTTCATAATGTAGCTGAGCCACTAAGACAAGCTGACCAAAGTGGAAGGAAGATTCTCATAGACTCAGTCACACAGAACTCTTTCAAAAGGTTCTAAGGTTTACTTCACTGAGTTTTGAAGCATTGTCTTGTGTGTGGGTCCATGTTTCCTTCTTGATATCTAGTTCATCAGATCTGGAAAGAGGGCTACCACTTGCAGAAACCCTAAATTTACCTTTTCTCCATGCAGATCACTGAGCAACAGTTGAGCCATGACTGTTCTCTACTTATTGCTAAATTGATGCAGAACTGATTCATTATCAGTTCTGTTATTATTATTTTTTGGAGGTAAGCTCTAAGAAATACTATTTACACGGAAATGTAGTTGAGGGAAGGCATTTTATCATAGTAATGTCACTTGGTTATTTGAACCCTTTATAATTATATGTCAAAAATCAAATAGTGTTCTATCACCAAAGGTTACTATCAATGGACAATTTGACTTTTGTTCAAGTTTGTTGAAAGCAATACAAATTTTTATAGAAGAATTTGTTACTCAGTTATTAGAATCATTCAGTTTGTCAGTTTCTGAGAACTATAACTAACAATTTTATCTAGACTTATAAAAGGATTACTAATTATACTTGTTTCACTTTTTCTTATAGGCACCTTTTTATTTTTAAGCTACACTTAATAATATTGGTTTAAAAAATTAAATTGGGCATTGTCTATTGCAGGATTTCTTTCCATAGGCTGAAAAAGTCATATTTATCTTTGCCAAACTTAAAATTTTAAATCTGACTGGACTCTAAGAGGCCTCAAAAATTTTTGAACAGATTGAATGAAATACAGATTTTGGAGAATTTTATATCTATATTGATTATAAATCTCTTTAATGGTTAAATAGTTATGCTTCTCATTATGCCTTTAAAAGAATTACAGAATTTATCACTCTCTGAATAGGAGCAATTCATCTTAAATAAAGGAAACTGGATTTCCAAAGTTTAGAGTGTCGTTACCTAGAATGATTTTTGGGAACATTTGTCTTTCATCTGTATATAAGTAGATATTCTGATTTTAAGAGCAACGAAAGTTTCTGTAGGAAAGTTGACTGCAAAGGTATAAGATATTTGGCCACTACTAAGCAGGAGACTTAGAACATGGTCTCAAAAGATTCTAGTCCTGGAGGCATGAATTCTTTGACAAAAGTAAGTGAGGATGAAATGCACCACAGTAAGATTTAACATAAGAGAGATAAGTCTATTCTTTTGTAATATTGGAAAAGGAAATTATGCAAGGGGAGGTAGAAAAGAAGGATTAGCATGATGGTTAAACTGCAGGTATATTTTCAGACAGATTGGTTTTACAAAAGAGTCTAGATGGAAGATGAAGAATTGAAAGTGGCTTCCCTTAAAGCTATCCATGCCCGTGTACCCCTTGGAAAATTTGTGCACCCTAAATGTTCACATCTTGGGTTGAAGACCACTGTTCTAGACCACCTATGGAACTTGAAAAAGAAACATGCAAGATGAGGCTTTATGAAAACACAAATTGCCAACTCATCCAACAGGTTGTATAGGCGGAGGGGTATACTAGAAATAAGAGGGGAACCCATTCTTTCTTTGGAGAGAGTTGGACTGTGTGTCCCACTTTCACTGGCATGACTTAAAGGTGAGCTGTTCTTTCTCCTGAACCCAGGCCTAGATTGAACATGACTTTAATCTTTTATATTTGTCATCTGCAGTTTGAGAAAGAACGCATGCTTAAGATGTCTAAAAGGCAAAAAAAGACTGTGGCTGGAGGCAAATCAAAGAGAGGGCTTCATTTAAAAAGGAGCTGTACCCCAGTAAAACAATGGGTCAGCGAGAGCTAGGTTTGGGCTGTCTTAGTTCTCTAGTGTTGGTCATATGAGGTAACTATGAAAGCTCAGTAGAAGGAGGCTAAAAGTGTATGTTGAATATCTAAATTTGCAGGGAAAAATTGTTCATGACCAGTCAGAGGAGGTGTGTTTACCTCACCAAAGATACTTGAGATGCCAGATCATGAATGGCAGAATCTCCAAAGAATTCACAAAAGTGGTCATGAAAAGTCAGTTTTAAATGTCTGCCTTGGCCAAAGGTAACTAGGATGTTATTTCTTACCTCATTAACTATTCCCCTAATTTCAGCTCTGAAGAAGATATCACAGCTTTGTTCAATTGTGGAAGAAACAAGATGCAGGGAGAGAAACTGGGAAGGAAAATAGAGGAATAATCTGGAACCTCGTCCAGATAGGCTTTGAATCTGCTGTAGTGGGAAAGAAGGAGCTTTAGTAAAAACAAAGTATAAAGTGAACTAGATATGCTAATTTAGGACTCAGTCTTCTTGGAGGACTAAAAGTGACCAGAGGACTTTTTATTTTCTCCTTTGAAAATCAACAGGAAGTAGTGTGGCCTGAGATTTCACTTAGTATCAGGAACAAAACTGGCTCTATAAAACAAATTTGATAGGTGACGGAGGAAGAAGACTAAGTCTATTTTCTGCTATCACCACATAAGTTCCGTTTGTTCAAGATGCTTACACTTATAATTCATTTTAAATATAAATATTGCTTAGGAGCACAAGAGTGGATTATTTCAATTTTAAAGTTCTTTTTCAATAACACACCCCTTTAAAGTAACTATTGCCTTCTTCTCAGAAAAACACCAGGATTATAACTTTTATTCTCTGCAACTTTTCCTTCACTAACATGTGCTAATATTTCAGTTGATATATATTTTGCCATTTAACCTGTAAGTTTATGAATCATGGGAATAGATTTAGCTTCAGAGTCATGTCATCAATTCCAATGGGATGGAAATCGGTAAGACAGTCAGGAGCAAATCTAATTTGGAGTACTCTATAAAAGGATATTTTAAAAGTAGAATTTGTCATCTATTGTAATGATTATAATTTCAGATATGAATATAGAATTTTAAGTCTTTCAGAATAGTTATTTATTATGTGACAGGAAGTAAATGGGATTACATGTTCCATATTTGAAACAAGGATAGAAAATAGAAAATGTCTTAGGAGTTTCTGAATACAGTTACTTAGAGGCAGAACAAGGACAAGCTAGAGTTCAAGCCTGACAACTTTTCAGTTATTTTGTCTACTAGCAGGAGCTACCAATTATTAAAACTTACACGGCCATGTTTTCTTAAGCTTTGGCCCCCTTCCCTACCTTGGGGAGGTGAGTCTCCTCTTTCTCTCTAACTGACTTTCTAAGTAAGCTATATTTTCTAATCTAATAAAAAACTTATAATACATCAGGTTTTCTGA